TACCCTTAGACTTACAGAACATCTTCCAGGACCTCGAAACAAGACGAGCCCCCCAAATTTTTTTAATTCCTTCTTTAATATTCGTCAAAACTCCGCCCATAGCTTCTAGTCCCTGTTGAACACATAAATTTAAAACATGACAGGCACACCGTTGATGCAGAAATCTACCCATAGACGTAGATGGTGGGCAAATTTCTCTAAGTCTAGGAATAGCTGCAGTATTATTAGTAGCATTATCAAAACCAAATGAAAACACTTTGTCAGATAAGTTGTATTCCCGCAGAATACTCTGAAGCAATAGGAAAATATTTTCAGCATTATGCTGTTCATTGAAATCACAAAATGCAAGAACACGTTTATGCATAATCCAATCACTATCTATCCAATGACAAGTAACACCCATATAAGACAAATTATGATAAGTTTCACTCGAAATATCATAACAAATAGCAACACGAGAATTAAAATTGAGAAAAAAATTTGCCAAATTTATTTTTCCAATTTTATACTGACGAATAATTTCTCGTTTAATTGTTTTTCTTGAAAAACCTCGTGCTTGAGGGTTTAATGCCTATTGACAATAATCAATAAATCCAAGTTTTTCAGAAAACATGTATGGCAAATTTTCTTCACAAATCATTTCGGCCATTTTTTGCTTATTTTGCTCGTCGCTATAAGCAAAAAGGCCGCCCTTACCTCTGTTAGCAAACCGAGAAATTTGGGTTTGCACTTCTTGTCGTCCCTTCTTTTTTGCCTCGTATTTGGCAAACTCCACGGGATGCCTCAACCTTAGGTGTTTTTCCGGACCGCCATAACCGCCGGAAACTCCCATTTTTATGACGGTCCCACAATGTTTACAAGTTCCATAAACTATGCCATCTTTTGTTTCTTTGTCAAAATGATAAACAAATAACTCTGATTTATATTTTTTTACCTTTATCCGGACCTCGAGAGGTCTCGGGCTCACCTGCCTCCACGTCAACGTCGTTGCTCTGCAGTGTAGGCTCCTCATCCCCGTCCAGATTATCCAGATTTGTTTCATCAAGATCTTCGAATACACTATCAAGAGTGGGGAGATTTGCGTCCCCTCTACCAGAATAAATCTGGTCGAATTCTTCATTCGTCATAGCGTCCCCGATTAAGTGATCGGGGATAGTAGGAAAGTAAGAGGCGGAGTGTCTTCCTCGAGAAACGCGTGAGGTCGAACCGTTGGAGGTGGCTTTAGCTTTGCCTCTCCTCAAACTTCGGTTCATAGCGCCCATATCCACGAACCTTCTACTGGACTCTCTCGACATTTTAATATATATATATTTGAATAATGAATGTATAAGGGTATAACTAAAAATTTATTATTATATATTTATATGAGTATATATTTATATATTATATAATATGTTAATATATATTTATATTATAATAAATATAAAATGTATAAAAGATAATAAGAATTGAGATATAAGAATATAAGATTTATGAAATTAAGAGAATTAAAGAATATAGATTAGAGAGGAGTAAGAAGAAATGAGAGTATGAGATTATGAGAATGGGGGATTGATGTGTTATTTTTTTAAAAAAATTGATGTATTTATAATGTAGAGTGCCCCCTACTCCCTCCCCCCTCCCCTAACCCCCCCAATCCCCCCCTCCCCTCAACGGCATCATAGCCGTTTGAGGGGCCCCCTCACGCTCCAATTAATTTTTTTTTGCAGGGAGCCGTTTGGACTTTGGACTGGACAACAGATCAGAGAAAACCAAAAAAAAAAAACGGTACAGTACCGGAACGGTACCGGTACCGCCGGTTCCGTGACGGGAATATGGGTACCGGAACCGGTACCGAAGGGGGCAGTACCGGTACCGGTTCCTGGTACCGGGTGACGAATCGGAAAACGGCGACGGTGGTGGGTACCGGCGGTACCGGCGCCGGTAACGGTACCGAACCGGTACCGTGTCCAGCCCTACCCATGAATGGTATCGAAAGAATGCACTTTAAAAATAGTTTGATCAAGAAATATATAGAAATATATTTCTAATTTTAAATATAGGCTTTAAATTTTCAAAACAAATAATTTTAAATTTGTAATTTGCTAAATATTGGGATAGTTTCATTATTTTCCAATTCACACGTTAGAGGAGTAACTTAAGTGGCAAAAAGCTAGTCTTAAAAGAGAACAGTTGATACGAAACGTATCAGATAAGGGAGGCTTAAAGCGCCTCCGAGCTTGAGAACGGGGGATACGGGAAGAGAGAAGAACGCCGCGGCCGGAAGCCGAGCAAGAGACGAGAGGGTTTAGGGTTTTGTATTTTTATTCCTTCCTTAAAGTAATATTGGTCCCTCTCCTTTTATAATGAGGAGGCGTCCCAACCCTAGTAAACCCTAGTTTAATCTACGTTATCTATCCTGACGGTTCAAGAAAAGCGACGAGGTAAAGAACCGTAAAGAAACCCTCGAAGGAGCTTATAATTCGCTCACCTAACAAAAACCTAAATACATTAATGAATAAAAGATGTAAATGAATAATTAAATAAAATAAACTAATCCATCTCGAAGTCTCGCTGCCACCCCGGTGCACGCCGCACCCGTTCACTCCTACGGATACTGGTGTCCTCGACTCTCGAGTCCATAACACTCTCCCCGCCTTCAGAACTCACCTTGTCCTCAAGGTGTAGATGAGGATAATGTTGACGAATAGTTGCAGCTGGCTCCCAAGTGGCGTCATCCAAAGTGTCGTCGCTCCAAC